GAAATAATGTTAGATATTCATATCCCCAAGTTAAAATATAATTCTTACATTGACTAGAGTATTCATTAGAAATGACTTCATGATAAGGAGAAACAAGAGTGGATATGAAATCATACGAATTGTAATCAAGATCAAGTACATTTAGTATTTGTGCGTCGCATTGAATAAGCTTCCCAGGAGAAACAGAGATGAATGATCGAGACAAATAATATTTAATATGACATCAGGATTTGATTCTTCTGAATTATTTTTCTCAAATTTATTAAAAATGCCATTGGAGAGTAATAGATCATTAGAAGAATCAGCATCTATCAAAACTGCATCAGATTTTCGATCACGATTTGATTCGTTCAACATATTTTCCTCAGATTTATAAGAAATCTCATCGGAAATATGTGAATCATTGAGACAAACCATAACTGGTACAATAACATGAGAGATCTGATAAGAAGTTGATTGATTAGAGACTTTTATCTCACCATGATCCTGAGTTTCATTTAACTATAGATTGCTATGTGACTCTATACCGCTTTTTGAAGTCCTGGATAAATATAAATGATCATTAGAATTACCCAACTTGATGGGATCACAATTACAAATTTTGGCATTAGTTGCAGAGGAATGAACCTTAGTATTACAAATTGACTGAATTTGTCCAATCTCACCAAATTTAAAATCACGAAATACACATGAATTAAATGAGTGAAACCTGCCATAGGACAAACATTGACCAAACATGTGCCCATCTTCGTGACCTGTATCGCAGCTCATCAATGAATTACCTACATAACCCTGAGTACACACTGGATTAGGATGACGTAGTAATGTAGTGTGATTTTCGATGTCCTGATTAATCATTTCACGAAATTTTCCTCATTTATCGCTTTCAAAATTTGTACACTTAACATAGTCTAGCAGTGGTTCATTGAGAGTTTCATAAGCAAGTGAAATAGGCTTTTCTGGTAAAGCCAGAGAATTATTATGCTGTACGCTTCTTTTCCGATGAATTTGAGGAAATATGCTACAATATTAACATCCTCAACATCTTCCTTGGTCATAGCCCAGATTTCGAATTTTTTCGAGTAATCCTCAAAAGCATCAGAATCTGAATGTTTGTCCAACAATTTCATCACAGGCTTCATCGTGACGCCAATGTGATGATTAGAAGTATTTGAATTATAGTACAAACTAGGAGTCCTAGAAATAACGCAATTGGTTCAAGATGTATTAGATAAGCACGAACGAATGTATTGTATTTGGAATTCGAAATCCATACAGTAATTATACCAATAGGTGCAACCTGATCTGTAAAGGAATTTGACTGTTGATTTCGTAAGATCAACGAAAAATCACAGCCAAATTATCAATCACCCTGAGATGTTTCCACGTTAGATGAAAGATTAATAAACACTGATAAGTTTACAAAATCTTGTCAAGGATGAATCACTCGCATTTATCAACTGCACATCATGGATCGCATTGACGCACTAGTGTTCACATTCTGTACTTCCATAATCTGATTATGTAATATCACCAATCATTTTGGTGAAATTTTGTTTCTTGTGTACAGTCACCAAAGAAGTCGTATATATCCGGATACCATAGTAGGGTATTCAGAGATTGGTGTTATTCGTGAGATGTGAATTCAAAGTAAGGAAGAGTCACAAAACATTCCCATTCGATATGAGTAGTTTTATCATCCAGATTGTGGATGGGGTGTTTTCGTTTTTAGAAATGAACAATTTCGAAATGCACTAGCTGCTTTACACACTGTCTTCAGTTCATGTCGGTTTAGAATTATTCACAATTGTTTACCTCCAGTTTGAAGAGAGTTAAGGTAAACTAACAGTACCAATGTCATGATATTTAGTTACTGAAAACGTTTTTCCAAGTAAAACGTGATACCTGTTGATGAAATGCTGAAACCTACAGAGAATACGACAGACATTTCGTTTTTTCCCCTTAGCGAATTCAAGTTTAGTACATTTCACCGACATTGTGTTCTTCCAATAAAATAAGAACATTCAATGTCTAAAAATAAGACGCATGATTCGAAAGGAGTAAATGAGATGAAACAGAAAATTTAGGCATAACATATCACAGGTGAATGAATAAAACTGCCACAATGACGGAATTCATGCAGTCAGGATAAACATGTTTAATCATAGGTTACATCTAAAAAGAATAAATCTTCGATTTAAGCTAACACCAGCAATGATTGATTTAATAGCAATTCTGAAGCAATTTGGAAGACTCTCCCGGTCCCCCACATTGTACGAGCATTCCATGTACCTAAATAAATGGTTGCTCTGGTTGTCAGAAGGGGCATCGGCCTCGTGACTTCCCAAGGAACTCGGCTATCATCATGAGGCTTCATAACTCTTCTAAATATAGACCTTCTGACTCCCAGGGCAGTATTTAAAAGGTTTGAATATTTTTTTCTGGTTAGCGTTTTTTAGCGAGTTAGTTTTCTACGGGATGGGGTCGCTAAACCCATGCCCAACCCTCCTCTTTTATCTGGGATTGGGACCGGCAGTAGTCCCCGAAAGGACTCCAAGCGGAGTTCATTGATTAGTTTTATGCAAAGCTATGAAGTAAATAGATCAAGAAATAGTATCAACCTGTTAAATCAATGGTTGATACTATTTCTTGATCTATTTACTTCATAGCTTTGCATAAGACCAATTTATACACCAAAAAGTTGAGTTTATTAAATCCGTCAGGAGCATTTGATATCAAAGTGAGAATCTTCAAAACGGACGTCAAGACAATCAGTTCTGCTGTACGGCGCTGAAACGTGGAGAACTACTACAACCATCATCAAGAAGTTACAATATTTATAAATAGCTGTCTACCCGAGATTCTCAACATCCATCTGCCGTATACTATCAGTAACAGCCTACTGTGGGAGAGAACAACCCAGCTTCCAGCTGAAGAAGAAATTAGGAAAAGGCGTTGGAAACCAATAGGACAGACATTGAGGAAATCATCAGTCTGCATCTCGGGGCAAGCCCTAACTTAGAATCCTGAAGGGAAGCGGAAAAGAGGAAGACCGAAGAACACATTAAGTCGGGAAATGGAATCAGAAGTGAAAAGGATGAATAGCAACCGGAAGGACTGTCCAGGACACGGTTGGATAATGCTGGTAGGCGACCTATGCTCCTCCACGAGGAGTAACAGGCGTAAACAAGTAGGTTTAAAAAGTACAAAGGAAACAATTATTGTTCCCTGAAGGAGCTTACATCAAGTCAAGAAACGTGAGAAATACAACTTTCTACTCATTGAGATATAACAAAAAATATATATTTATTATTGACTTCCTACTCAACGCTTAATTTATTTGAAACTATCAAGTTTAACCTTAGCACTGATACTGAAAAACTGGTATTTTATAGTTTTTCTTTAACTTAATGGTTTCACTGTTTGTTGTAAAGAAGTGTCACGAATCTTATCGACTAGATTATGAAGGGAATTGTTGACGAATAGTAGTTATTCGAGAAAAATCCATGTTTAGAATATTATTTTCACTAGTTGCACATGGTGACTAGAAAATGCAACTGCGTCTGTTACAACACCTTAACTACTTCCTTACCGAGTTTAGGTTTACTTAACGCTCTCTGAGGCGTATTTTGTGGACGCTTGCAATGTTACCTTAATAACCAAACTGATGTGGATAAGGCAACATTTGAATTCACGAACTACAAGCCGAATACTTTCACCGAGTAGTAATTATTCCCGAATGACTTAACTTAAATAAGTTCGAACTATTAATTCATAAAATAGATGCGTTTACAACCAATGGATTGAACAAAATGACATGTTTTCTACAGTAACAGTTGTCGATAGATGTTTTTAGGGGAGAGGTTGTGTTGCAGCCTCTATTTCTTAATACACCTAAGCTATTTATTCTAATGTTTGAAGAGATAATGTTGCTTTCCAGTCATTTGTGTTACCTTGAGCCCGTGTTTATCCAAATACTTGGATAAATCTCCCATGACTATAAATACCAAGTTGTGTTTTCATTAAATTGAAGGGGCCTGCTTGCCTTCTCTGATCCGCTTATATATATATATATATATATATATATATATATATATATATATATATATATATGTTTGCATTACAGGATGTGTGCACTATAGGCATTCATAATCATCCTAGTATTTGACTTTTTTGTCCCAATGTTCACTAACGCAAATTAAGTTGATATGATATGTACGAAGTTAGGCAGGATATACATTAAGTAAACATCATCGTCCGATCATAATAAAGTCAGACAACCACCGGCACCAAAATCGACACTTTAAAACAACTACCATCGAAGCACATTATGAACAGACAAGATACCGAACTAATAAAACAAGAAATGGATTCTAAAATGACGAAAATTTGTGACTCAAATGAACTGTGGGTTGGTTAATTTAGTTGTTGACGTCTTATAATCATTTTGAACACTATACTTCATGCTAAAGACTACAGTGACATATACGATCGGGTGAGGTATCATGGGACTCACTCTACGAGTGGTTAATTTACAATGATAAAATAAAGGTCTATACACAATCACGTTTTTTGTGCTTGAGTTATTGTCAGCTGGTGCACGGTTGAACAATTCGTTCTTCTTTGACTTCTCAATCATTGATTGATTAAGCTAAGAATCGTTGAGAGAATATCACAAGTCCGGCTGATTAGCACTTAATATTGACTTTATATTTCCTTTCAAGTAGTTTGCTACTAGTCATAACAACACCTAAATCACTACGACCTATCAATAAGTGATAACTTGAAATCGTAGTTGGGTTTCACTATTGTGACAATCCAATCAAGCTATACTGTCTAGGAAACACTTTTATTTTAAGTCTTACCATACTAAATAGATTGGTTGGAGAACATCAAGAGTAAAAGCAACAATCTATGATCAGAGGTTGAGTTCTTACCACGGACTGTAGAGGGGTATGATGTTCCCTTACACATATAATATCTCTAAAAATAAAGAAGAGCTAGAAAAGATCTACATTTCTTTGCTGCACGAATTGCTATCATTAACGGGAAGTTCTTGAAAGTACTGAGCTAGCACATTGTGAACTCACAAGTATTAATTTTCTTATTTTTCTTCACAAAACCTTTAAGAGGAAGAAGTATCAATTCATGATGTAGATGATAGAGAGCTCACAACGGATGTCATAATTCTAAAAGAATCATAAATAACAACTGAATATCAAGAAGAAGAAGAAGAAGAAACGTTTGAAAAGTACACTGATGGAACAATAATCATTCATAATATTTCTTTTTGACAAAAACAAACAACACAAAAATAAATTTGAAATCACTATGACCAAAAATGAAAATAAATAACCAAATGAATCTATGTTGTTTTGTTAGACTTTATAAACAGAAAGAAAGAGAGAGGAAAACAACAACAACAATAACATGAAATCAATGAAAAGAATCTTATCATATGAGAAGCAGCATACATATCTATGGGGGATGGGCAAAGTGTAAGCTGTACAAAAAAAAACAACTACCTATCACAGATGACAACAAAGAACGATGAATAGAAATAATAAAGAGAGAAACTTTATACAACTATAAAACTGTCACAATAAAAAAGAAAAGGGGGGGATCATATAACTTATTTATCGGTTTATTTGTATACAATTTTTCATTGTTGTTATATGTATGTGCGTGTGTATATGACGCGAAAGGGGTTTACAATTCAATGGTTAAATAAAACATAAATATTTCAATGATTTAATTATCATCATTATGAAAAGATAATAAAGAGAAATTTGATTAATTCAATAACAACAATTAAGAAAAAACAAACAAACAAACAAACGAAAGAAAAAAAGCAGAATAAAAAAACTTTTTTTTTCAGAAGAAAATTAATAAACAAACAATAAAAAGAAAAAAAGAATATTTATCATCATAAATTATATTCAATCTCTTTTTCATACAATTTTATTGTCTACAATCAATATTGTACGTTCGTTTACAATTGATGATGATGATGGGGGTGAAGAAGTATTAGAGGATGTATCATGTATGATAGATGATGATGGTGGTGGTGTACGATCAACATGTTCTTCTGTATCATTATTATTATTATCAGAAGGATGAAGTGGGGGAGGAGGTGATGATAAATGGTCATTGCTCATTGTTGTATTTGTAGATTGTTTATCTAAATTATTTGATGAATTTGATGTCATAGCAGTAGTAGTAGTAGTAGTAGTATCGGTTAAGTTACGATTTGTAAAAAATAATTCATTTGTAATTGATGATATTGTAGTACCATTATTATTATTATTGTTATTGTTATTATTACTATTAAATGGTGTTTTTGGTGATAAACTTAAATAATTAGTTGTAACTGTAGCAGATTTATTAGAAATAATACGTTTATCATTAAATTCATCCATACCTAAACGTTCATTGTTTGATGATCCAATTGCGATATTACCACGTGATACAATACCATTAATATTTGGTTCTGATGAACATTTATGTAATTTTGGTAATGAACGATATAATGAATCTAAACATGGATAAATCTATATAATGATATGATTGAAAGAAACAAAAGAAAAAGAGAACCTCAATAAATGAACTAATCCGATAGTTTACTAAATTTCTCTGATGAATAATTTAATCTAAAGTTGATTGGATGATAAGCAAAGATGGATAGTGGTTAGCAGTGAAATCTAGTTTGACGAGCATTTCGTCCTATTTGGGACTCGTCAGTTGGATTTATCTACATCCCAGAATTCATTTTCCCTCTGGGACTCGAACCCAGTACCGTTCGCTTTAAACACTATCACGTTATCCACTTAGCTACTGAATCCTGACACAAGTGAATTTGATCAGATTACATTTGAGAATAGTTTACATTAAGAATTGGACTAACTTCAGACAAACAATTTAACAAGTACTATAAGGAGAATTATTAGAAGTGAGAATCCATGACTAGTTGTATTCAATCAGGAAATAAAGCATTACTAAAAGTAATGAAAAGTATTTGTAGAGTATTATGGGTTGATTAAAGATAATGCTTTCGTTTTTTATAAAAGTCAAAGATAACAGGTTTGATGAATGATATACAATGTGAGGACTGTTAAAATCATAAGAATTTCAGAGAATTTCAGTACATTAAGACTATTTTGTTGACGTTCGTGAGATGATCGTGACCAATGGTTGGAGACGTTGAGTGTTATGACTCAGATACATTCACTCTTCATCTTCTCTTAATTCCTGAGTTTGCAAAGTATTTCACACGTTTCATACTGCAAATTTATTCTTCCCTGCCAAATCGTATAGTCTATGTCAAATCTTTCTAATTACCAATCATACTGTTACTACTTCTATTATTTTAGCATTCATCTTGATAATTTTATCTCGCAGTTAGTATAGACCAATGTACATATACTTTCACAAAGCCACATGTATACAGTCACTGCCTTCTCGCACCAGGGGTGTTGTTTACAAAATTAAGAGGACGAAAAGCGAATGTCTAGCACACTAACCAATTTTCTGGATACGAATGATGCACCTAGGGGAGTTGGAAAACGATAATTCCAAACCAATGGTTCACATTGGCTGCATGGTTTTGAGACAACAAATGGCGTATGTACTTGTTTTTGGTCACCGGCTTCCATCAGATTACACCTCCTTACGTTGCTTCACTGCCTTGTGGATTAGACCTTTAGGTCGAAGGCACCAGGTATGACCACCTGCTTGGGTCTAAGGTACCCGAGCAGTATCACAGGCCACACAAGTGACCTGTGCGGCGCGTATGTATTTGGTGCCCTCTTGTACCAATGTTTATGTGTTCAAATAAATAAAATACATGTTTTATATTGTTCATGATTGATTGACAATGTGACATGAACTAATTATTTGGAATACAAATTAAGCTAAACTAAAAGTTATTTATTAATTAGATTCTAGGTAAACATTGATTGCGTAAAAGTTCACATACACAATAAAATCATGAAAATTAATTAACATTAAAACAAAGAAAACAATATTTAATTTACCTGAGAGAATGGTGGTCGATTTTCACGTTGAAAACTGCAACAATCTAATGATAAACGTTGTAATTGATGAGGAATATCTGTACGACATACAGTTAGATCAGGTTTTAATAAACCTCGGCCAACAAGAAATAAAATTTGGTCACGATTATTATAATGAGAATAAGGTAGTTGACCAGTAATTAATTCATAAATCACTACACCATATGCGTATACATCTGAAAGATTAGTATATGGTGTTTCACCTTCCATACGAATAACTTCAGGAGCCTAATAAAAATAAATGTTAAAGGATGACACGATGAATAAGATGAAGTAAATCAACTGTTTCTAGGTAATGTAACAAGTAAAAATGTGAATTAATCTTTAAGTAAGTCTGTATTATTATTATTAATCTACTTACCATCCAAAATATAGATCCAGTTGGTTGTTGACAACCAGTATTCCACCAACGACTTTTTACTGTGGCCAAACCAAAATCGCCAATTTTCACAGTACGATCATGTAAGAATATATTACTTGACTTTAAGTCACGATGTATTATATTCTTAGCATGTAAATAACTAGAGAATGGATACATGAAAATTTTTTAATAGGAAATAGGACAAAATCATTGGAGTATTTCAGTCATAGAAATCTATTAGTATAGGCAAGTGGGGTGTTGTGGGGATTATTTAACTCTGTATTTTTACATTATAGACTGATTTTAATTAGATAACCATACTGGAAACAAAACAAATGTCCAATGTCTCCTGGATTTTAGTCTTTTTGAGCAGATTCAGTCTATCGTGTGAAATCATAAGAATTCCATTGGATTACATATTTATACATTCGAATGATAAGTCCGCAGGTTTTAATGAAACGTGTCTCCTTCAGAGCCACTTTAATATTAGGTTTTACTGTTTCATGACAGAGAAATTTAATCGCTGATAAATGTAATCCATCCAGTTGGAGACCGGGAATAAAACAATATTTATACGTAATACAGTTAATTCCTAGTAGATAAAATCCAATGGATTATAGATGCACTATTGCACTGTCATCGAGTGGTAAGCGACTCCTGCCGATAACCTCTAACAGCCTAACATCTCATAGTAGTGCACGCAATGCCGAATAATAAAGATTAGTACTTATAATGATATATGATTGGTAAAATTGGATCATCACTAAAAAATTTTTTTTAAAAACATGAGCAGTCAATGTAAGTGTCTCAGTCTTACAAATCAGTCGTAGCTCTAATGACCCAGTGGGAATTTTTCAGACCATAAAGCTGGGTCATCCCTGTTCGAATCCACTAATTATTAGTTTAGTTAAGACTGTGCCAATTAAAATTAAACCTAGGTTCAGAGTTTCCTATCTACCACCTCAAACCACCTGACATTTTAAATGGTCCTGTTAAATGGTTCCAGGTTGATATAAGAGACCATTTAACTGTGAGGTAAAAAGCTTTCGGATTAGGCGCCACACTACTCAACATTATGAATAGCCAATCCCTGGAGATACACTAATAGATTCCATATATCCACTCACCATCGACTGGAGTGAGAAATAAATTTCTTGTCATGTCAAATAATTGCAGGCTTAGTGCTAAAATTATTGAGGAATATTCGTGTTGCGTTCACAAATGAGTTGACATTTCGATTTGCGTAGCTAGTAAATTGGGAATTATATTGTCATATCGCATGATAACCTTTGTCTGTGATTTAGTCGTAATCCTCTAAGAAGGAATCAAATTATCTAGATCTGCTGTTAGTAAATTGCAATTCTAGTGAATAATTAAGTTCTTGATAGCTTCCAACTTATAATATTACGCTGTTAACCTTTTCTATTTTCTAGATAGTTATTTTCCATTTTGGTATCCTACTTTGTTACACGTTCACAATGTCATTGTTATTACTATGTAAACAGAATTACTATATCACATTACGACTTAGTTTAGATGTGAATGAAGGTAGTTGACAACTTTGGACCTAGGTTTCGTAGTATATGGAAAGCATCAGCAAGGATCATCTGTAATTTTGAGGGGACTTCTATTGTCTGGTGGACACGATTCAGCAGTACTTAGCTTCACAGCCTAAAACATTACTACTGAGCTATTCGGGCCGCAACTGATCACCTGTAGGATTGAGATATTCACACCTGATTGACCACTGATTAGTGTCAAATTATGATAAATATGACATTGTCCACTACTCAATAATCAATCGATTGTATGTTACGACTCCATTTTGAGAAAAATGAAGCTCCTTTGAAGGTATTATCTTATCGCTCTCTTTTTGTTGATTTGCGTGTGGATTATTAACATTGACATGTTGTTGTGTATGAATCGTTCGTTCATGTAGATTCCGTTTTATATTGTAAGAATATTCTAATAGTTCAAAACCTATAGTAAAATGATTTTGGATCATTCAAATACAGTATAATTCTAATCATTCGATTGGTGAAGTGTCAAATATAATTCACATGGTAAATATTATTTCATTTATATATTATTTACAAACAATATGCTAGGTTTTGACAGGTGATTGAATTATATTTGGATTAGCGCTAATTGTATTGACGAAAATGGTAAGAATTGTATCGAGGATAAACACTCTTAAATGATGAGGAAGTTCTAGATAAAAATACTTCAGAGAAAGTCTCAAAGCATGATATTAATAGAAACAATGACATATATCTGATTCATCATGTTATACGGAGAACGCCAACCACATGGTCCAGGTCAACAGGAGTAAGCAGTTAACGAAAATTAAGATGCATGGAACTAACATGACTCGAACAGATACTCCGTTGCAAACAAGGAGATCAGCAGGACCAATTGATTTAGAGTTTGTTAAATGGTTATTAGATAAGTTAGGGAGGTCAGTGCCTAACACAAACTAGTGAAAACAATGCAAAGTTACTTATATCAGTCGATTTACAGTACACATACCGGTGAACAACATAGAAAGACGACAAATCCACTACAAAATGAAACACTTACTCCATACCCTGTGATGTTTGCTTGGCAATATCGACTAGTTCTGGAACATCAAAACGATGCTCTAACACATGAAGATGTTTATACAAACTGGACCCTTCACACCATTGAGTGATGATAGCTATACATGGTTTAGAGACACAACCCATAAATAAAAGAATATTTTCATGTCGTGTCTTTCTAAAATTAAAATGTTAAAAAAAATAAAATGAAGAAACAAAGAAATTCTCAAACAAAAAATAACCATAATCAGTTTTATTTTATTTATTTATTTTAACACATGGATATTGGTGCAAGGAGGCACCAAATAGATATGCGCCACACAGATCTCATTTGATATGTTTAAGGGCTGTGATACTGCCCGGGTGCCCAAACCGAAGCAGGTGTCTTTCCTAGGGTGTCTACACCCGGAGCCTTCGACATGAAGGTCTGATCCATAAGGCAGTGGGTCAACGTAAGGAGATGCAGTCCCATGGTGGCCGGTGACCAACGATTGGTTCACACCCCATTTGTTCCTTCAGGATACTGGAGCCAATGTGAACCATTGGTTTGGAATCACGGTTTTCCAACTCCCCTAGGTGGACTCTCCATGTCCACCAACCTGATTGAAGCGCCAGACGTTCGCTTTTCGTCCTCTTAATTTCGTAAACAACACCCCCGCCACGAGAATGCAGTGAGTAGGACTTCCCTGGCAGAGGCTATATACGCGTGGCCATGTGAGAGCATTTCGGGAGGGAGAGCGGACTCTCTCCACTCTCAGCCATACCAGGGGATTTGGGGGCCCTAGTTCTTAATCATTAGAAAAATTAGTGATTTGTTACTAAGTCCACATACTATTTATCAACCTGAATTTAGTGTCCGTTCTGACAAGCTGGACAAGTCATATATTGTACCAAGGATGTGTTATGTAACAACTAGGATAACTTGACTACCTATTATACTATAAAGTGGTCTATCAGCAGTTAATAGTGTGTAGATTTTTCCAATTAGGAAATAATCTTCATCATGGACCGATAACAACAACAAATGAATAATTTGGATTGAAAATTAAACAAGAACGTGCGATTTTTAAAAAAAATAGTAATTACCTCAATACACTGACTTCATTTTTGAAAGCTTTCAATTGTTGTGGTGTAGGATCAACAACATTCAATTCTTTAATAGCAACATTTCCATGCCAATAACCTTTAAATACAGTACCAAATGATCCAGAACCGATTCTTGGACCTTTAGTAATTTCTTGTCCATTTATCTCCCATTCATCATTTGAACCACGTCTCTAGAGATGACAAATATAATTAAAATTATTGGAAGGTATGTAAATTTACATCCACATGGCAACGATGAGTATAAGGCAAAAAAAGGTGGAAATACATGAATATACATTCATTTAATCAGTTTTTTATTTAAAATTTTTTAACCAAAACTGGGGTTTATCTTGCATGAAGTCTAATAAATGAAAGAATACTAATGAGTAAAATCAGTTAGTCCCATCGTCAAACCTGGTACGTATGCACATTGGTTTAAGTTGCCATACTCCGTTAGCACATAGAGATAAAGTTGTCAGGCCAAATCCCACAATAGTAGAGGTAGTAACAGTATTAGTGGTAATAGGAAATTTTAGGCATTGAAGATACGATTCAAAATATAAATTAGTGAGATATAAACACAAAAAAAGGTTAAGAGGAACTCAGAAGCTCAGAATTTCGGGGAAGACAAAGAATAGATGCATCTGAGTCACTGCAAACGATTCTGAGCCATGTTATTCAAAGTCTTAAACTATTGGTTATGATAATCACATGAATGAAGTTAGACTGTTGTTTTAAAAAAGCAACAAACTAATGAACTAGTGATGAATTTAATATAAAATAGTTGGATATAATCGACAGACAGTCGATTATAATCAAAGTAGAACCTGGTACATATGTGTATCGATTCACGTTGCCACACCATATCAATACAGTGAGATGAATTCATCAAGATAAATTCCAGAGTGGTAGAAGTACCAAGCGGATTAATGCTAAAAGAAAAGATCAGGTATGAACAATACGATATGAGAAAAAATAATGAACTTTCAAAATAGAAAGTATAAGACAAAAAGTGGATGGATTTGTACCATTGTGACGGTCTTTCAGTCACGCCACTCAGCGTCTCCAACCATTGAGTTAAGATAATCTCGAGGAATCCAACTAGATAATCTGAACTTAACAAAATAACTCAGGTCGAAAGTTAAAAATTTCATGAACTGATGCCATGTCTTGTATTAACTAAACCTAGATTTCGACAGAAAATTCAAGATATAGGGTTTTGTGTTAGCTGGAATTCATCAGGAAAATAATTTTCTTTAAAAATTTCAGAAAATTGATGCTAAAAACCTATCAAATGTAGGTTCAAGTACTCAGCTTTGAGTCAAACTCTGTCAAAACACAAGTACAAGAAAGAGCTAATATCAATATCCGTCTAAGTTGGAGTGGATAGAATAGTGTTTGAATCTGCTTGAAAGAAATCAAATACGTTAATTACTAAATTGCGCCGCTCTAGGAAGTATGGTTCCTGAGATCATCGATGTGATACAAGTCTGGGGAAGGATGACAATGATGTTCTTGAGTAAAAAAGTTTAATTTTCATTGATTCATGAATATTTGCAATGTTAGAGATAGAAGTAGAGCATTATCGAAAGATGGTAAATCGATTGATGAGGCAGTAAACTTTCGTCTATGGAGGTGGTTGGGACATGTATTACATATGACCAACTATCACTTGCCTCAATATGTGATATTTACTGGTGTAGAAATAATTTAGAAGGAAACTAGAGGCAGCGAAAAGGTGTGGCACTAGTCTAAGAAATCACTAACGATTGGACTAAGCCGTGGAGATATATGTAGATTATCTGGTTAGAATTGTGCGACTATCGTAGGTAATGGTTGGCGACTTTAGATGACATGCCTCAGAATCACTTGCATTGGCGCAGGTGCATTCACTGTCTTTGGTTAAATTCTAATTTTTCAAATTACCTTATACATTTCTTTTATTTGATTAATTAATATTTTCTTCTCGGAAAATATCTTTTCTGCTTGGTCTTTTTTAATACTATTAATACTGATACTACCTCTACTACCATTGGATGTGCCTTAATAATGTTATTTCGCTATGTTAATATTATTCGGCAACTTGAACTGATATACATATGTGCCAGGTTCTACGTTGTCCATGGCTGGCTCACAACTAACTCCCTCTAAAGTAAATCAAAGATGTTAGTATGGGATTCTAAACATTCACACTGATTATTGAATCAATGGGCAAACTTAATATGTGGTATATTACATGAATGTTCATACATAACTATAATCAAAACTCTAATTTTTCTTGTAAATATTAAAGACTCAATAGAAACACAACGTCAATATGTAGTTTTTAGCTAAAGTCTTTGAAAATCAACGAGCTGTTTAATTTCAGCATGGAACATTCTTTATCATAGTGTATAATGTTGTCAGATAATGAACCAGAATCTTGATATATCCTCCTTGACAATAATATTTTTAGTGCACAAACAAAACTTCATCGATGTACATATATAAACCTTTTTTTTAAAAAAAAAAAGAGAATAAAAATTTACATTTTTTACTTTGATAGATTGTTTTGGATCACTGCCAGATCTTTGATTATATGGTATAGATAAATTTGATAGAAAACAACCATCATTAGGAATTGATGGACTTTCTGGTACTCCATTACCAGTTGTATAATTATAATCTATATAAAATAAATGAACAAAAATAAAATGAAAGTATACGATCTGGACGACTTTGAGAGACCTACCAGTCAATTAGGAAACAGGATTTAGGCATTTAAAAAATTTGACGATAAATAATAAAATTTCAGTGAAATAATAGTTGAAATAATCATTATACTAAAAGAGGAAAAAAGTTAGATCTACATTTTAAAAGTTAAGCTAGTGTTGTGAATTAGGTTTGTAATCCTATAGGGTTTTTGTCATTAACCCATGTAATAAGCTATAATGCATGTAGGCTTGGGTGAGGTAATAAGTGTTAAGCTGAAATTACAAGTTGGAATTAAGATTAGGGTTTTCATCACAAATTAACATCAATTATAATGCGACAAAGCTTTACAGCCATTTTATTTACGAACTTAATAAATGTAGAGCTGTTACTTAAAATGAGTAGTACAAGCTTAAACACTATGTTATACTGACTGTTTGGTTACGTGGTAAATACTTGTTTGTTTTAGGAACAAAAGGTGTTGCCAATTTTCACCCAATCAATAATAATATACAAGATGGTTGACTGCGCAAAAGTCCATGATGCACTATCGCAATCCTAACTGGTTCACTCAAGGCTGTCAGTACCGTATAGTTTCAAAGAAAATTATTTGTCTTGTTAAGACGTCGTAACCTACGAAAGTCTTTACTATTTAGTTCCTCAACAGCTTAAAGACTGACAATTAAAGATGAGATTTTAAAGCTATGCATCACTGATTAGACATTAAATGAACAACATATTTAAGACTATCATTGATGTTAAGCAATGAGATCAGATACATGCATATGGGCAGTATAGAATCTGGAATTTGTCCATTTACATATCACAGAAGAAGTGTAAGAAATAATGAAAATGAAATCAGTGACAATCTGTTAACGAGGAAGTAAAGTAAAAACAGTTCGGAATAAAAAAAAATTAATGAATACATTTCTGTCATATTGAGGGTCATCGGTGATGAGACTCACTGAAACACAATAACCACCTTGGATAAACTGAAAGAGCAATATCAAATTACAAGTACCTATCTACCTACCGATCTGTACTGACTGACCACTTCGGATTATAAATGGCCAAGGATGTTTATTGTTCTATTGAAGTAGCAGCCAGTCCATGCTCAATATTAATAATGCGCTTTCCTTATACTTGTTTTAAAACGCTGAACACATATTATGATGGACTGACTTATCAATGATTAACAACTCAGATCATTATACATTTAATGATCCAAGAAATAAGTGTATTATTGTTGCAACGCTACGTGTAAATGATTCAATTACACATAGAATCTGCCTAATTTATTCCCAAAATCTATACTGAAGATATGATACTGATTGAGTGCTAATGCCTATAAAATAATGATGCCTCAACGAATATTCAGTACTGCTCGCAGAGTGACAAGGAAAGCCTTTGCCAAGACAGTTTCTAATGCTTTGAAAGAAGCCAATTACACAAGGACAACACTGATGACTAAATACTATTAATATTATCATAGAACACAAACAAAAAAGTTCATTGAAAGCGATAGTTGATACGAACTAATCAAGAGGCAAGAATAAGACAAAGAAGCGGTTCGTAGTGCTATAAAAAAGGAATATCATGTTAAAGAGCGGTGATTTGCGACTGATCCGATGAATTGATGTACAGATAAGACCAAGTCACGACTAACCGCATAACCCAAATATTAACAAAATGCCCACCCCCTCAAATTAATAGAGAATAAAAGACGATAACCAGCCAACAAAATGGCACACAAACGGAATATTTAACATGTAAACATACATGATTAAGATTCAGTGTACCACGAGAATTTTTTTAATTGTTCACCAGGTAACTTAATCTAAATATGACTATAAGAATTAATTTCTGCTATTTACATTATTTAATTATTCGACCACAGCCTAATATGGAGTGAGAAGATTGATTTTAGTAATAATTATGACAACAGTAATAATAATAACACCATGTTTGTAACTCTAATAAAATTTTGTAGTAAACAACTCCCGGTTTGCCAACACCAGCATATGAATGCTACTCAAGATATAGTAATAAAAGACTCATATTGAGTTGGGAGGAGGGAAATTAGAATTTACTAACCAAAACACTTGATACCTAGTTAAAACAAGCGTAGTGAAATGGATAATCGGTTTATCACTGTATTACATCACAGGTCGCAACTCTTCATGACAAATGATCATAAATTAAAAAGTTAGTCTAAATATTTCCTCAGAAACACTGCCGAGACTATTTCGCTTTAATTGCTTATCACTGCGTGAGTGTTAAGACTAGTGTGTCTTTCAATATATATATATATACATATATATATATATATATATATATATATATATATATAATGGTGCAATGATGTAGTAAACGGGAAAATACTTACTTGTAACTGGATATACAATGTGTAAAGGGGATCCTTGAATAATTTTATTCGCCTCTCGCTAAAAAATTGTATACAGAAGTAGAGGGTAGAAAACATAACAGCATCAACTGAATCTGAGGTTAAAATGAGAAAATTATTCATAACCATGTCCCATGAACAAACAATTTGAATATCATGTATTACAACTAAACACACTTGTATGAGCACACATAAATAACTCAAGAAATGTAAAACAAGTTTCCTAACTGGGCAGAAATGTGTAAATCAATAACCAGCTACCCAAACGAAATGTTTGAAATAAAATAACCAGAAAAAAGGAAGTGTTTTACAAACTACACAGTTGTGTCAAATAAAACCAATAACACGGTTCTGTGAAACCTACTGAAGAATACATTGAAGCACAGAATGACCGCACCCGACGTATGCCAAAATATGTAGCTGGTGAGAGAGATAGCTTTGATATATGATCTGGGCATAAATTTTGGTTTGGTGAATAAAATATTTGAGGTAGTAGTAGGATTTTGTAGTCTTGTGAGGTCGGCTTTTGTTTATTAGAAGATAAATTATGTGTTTTACGTGAAAGACTTCGGAGACTGGTATTATCGGTCAACACTATATTCAGAGGATTCTCAGAAAAAGCTTCGTACAATGAGCACGATGTAGATAGTTGGCTGGTTGTTGAAAACGTTTCTTTAGAAGTATTTTTTGTAGGAAGAGGAAGGGAATGGAGACCGATTGGTTGGCAATTTTCATAGATACCGCTTGATGACTTACTACTATTACTACTACAACTGCTAACATGAAGCTTTATAGTAGTGTCACATCCAATAGTTAGTAATTTACCATATGAATTATAAGGAACATGAAGATGACTCTTATAAGCTACAGAATTATGCCCACACTCATTAATACACGATGATATACTTCTAGGAAATATTGTACTACTGCGAGATTTCATAGATAACTCTCCGCAAACTTTATCATTACAATTATATGTAGACATGTATTTTGCATCGATCGGCTTCATTGTCGTCATCGTCACCGTCGGAGTTTTATGATAAAATAAAAGCGAACTATTAGTATTTACCAGTCTGATGTTATCAAGAGTACAATGTTTTAATGGATATGTTGGAGCAGACAAAGTGGATAGTTTTCTATCCGAATATTTAGCATTGCAACGAATGTTGTCAGAATTTGTATTATTATTATTACTTTCAAAGTTATCGCCATTCACGTAGATGATAGGACAAAGGGAGTTTGAAGTCTCCAACTGTTTATCAGTCATAGTATTTTTGAAACAAGATTTAGATGGACGATCACAGTGATGGTAGTATTGATAATTGCTCTCGTGACTACTTGTATTAGTCCCAGTGCAAAATGAACATGAAACTAATAAGTTGGAAAGTAAAGATTTTATACTCTTAGAATGGTTTGGTTTACACACAGGTGAAAATACATTATGAACATGTTTAGGATATAGTCGTCTACATCGAAAGACAGAAAAAAAAGTGATGAGAGTAAAAATGTGCAGAAAAACGATTGCGTCACACACAAGGATAAATAGGGCAATATGTTACACATTATTAATAGTAGGAAAACAAATTGCATACCCATACATGTATATACAGTAGTATCGGAACAGCATATGAAAACAACAATCGGAGAATAACAAGATGTAATGCAACAAATACTTCATCTTAATAAATATTAACATTCTGAACAAAATATATCAAATGATGATTCCTCAATTAAAAAACAACAAATTATCAACTAACTACCTTTCCAAGTGAACTGGGAGTGAATAAACTTTTCTGTTGATTTGGTGGAATTAAATTGTTCGATACATTCGGTGTTGACGATGAACGTTCTCTACAGGTTAGTGACAAACACTGACGAGGAAAATGTCCACCTCCACTTCCGAAAGATGTTGGAAGATATTGACTATTCAATAGAAGATTATTACTATCGAAACCACCTCCAGTAGAATTAGTCAATACACGAACTGTTGTCAGGTCTTCAGGATTAAAATGATAGAAATGTGTATAGCCTGGTGTTGCATTTGAAGAAACTAACCAATTTGATCCGTGTATAGATGAATTAGAAGTACCCAAAGAGCTATTTATGGAAGGAGAGGTTAATAAATAACTCCAGTATTGAAACAGACAATAATCATGTAACGAAATATGTGAGACATGATGAAGTTCAATCATACAATCCTATGTTAATTAGCAGGTTTTCTTGTCAACCACGTTATTAGACAGCTACACACAATTCCGCTTTACAGAAAAAAGTAAGAACACTTCCCTTAAAATTCCTATGATGAAAAAATTGATTGAAGTGGAGGAAAGTGAAATCTACCACTTTAATAATGAGGCCTGCTGTAAGTGTCTTACTGTTGTTTGAACAAGTGTGAAATCGCGAAAGTGTTTTTCGATCGGTCAGCATTTCAAGACCAATCGTGGAATACCAGCCTAGGTTCATAATGTACAAATTGCAAGCAAAATATACTTAAGATTTTGATGGCTTCTAATTTTTGAAAGCCAAATATACAGGATAAACGTTAAGGAACTATTAACAATAACTTACTTTCGACTGCTTAGTTGATCACCAACATAGAAAACATCATCATCTAAATTGGACAAGCAATTCTTATCGACACGCGGAAGACAACGATTATGATAGGCGCAACCACAGGCTTTACATATAGCACCTTTAAATGTAATTTTTTTATACAAACGTATAAACAAATGAAAACAACTTACCATGGAATATAGACTTATGGCATAGATTACAATAAGCCTTTTCAAAAAATGTCTTTCTTTGAAAATGATGTTCTAAACGTTTAAAGTTTCGTCGAGCAAAATCAACTATTAATTCTTCACCAATTAAAGCAATTTGTTCAGCGTCATCTTCCCATGAAACTGGTAGACTAGTTCATTTTTATATTTGAATCCCGAGCAAAATTTCAAAAAAACAAAAACAAATTATAATAAATGAAAATTTAATCACAAGAGGAATATATTCTGCAATATTATGCTCTCAACCTGCAACAGTATAACAACTGATGATCGAGTACTTTGATGAAGACCGTTCATTCGACTACTACAACAAAATGCAGGATACGGGATCCACGAATTACCCATCACTTTCCCATCAAATGTAAATAAACAACCCCATAGGAATATTGAATACTCAGCTATAGGTGACTATATCTTGCAGAGTGAGGAAATGCACTCATCAAAGCATTTTGCGATATAAACTCTACAGTAAAGCAGGAGACGAAACAGTAACTATCATTATCTACAACATACACCAATTTTAATATTCAAAGACTGATCTTGTCTGATGTAACATGTAAAGCACACAGGAACATGGAATATTCTACTGCTTTCAAAACGTTTAAGTCAATGAGGTAAGAGCAAAGATGATTTCCTAATTCCATGCAATTAATTTACGACTGATGCAGAGTATCAAACTTAGGAAGTGAGTTAAATACATTTTAAACTTTACGTTATTATGCAGTGGGGAGATACTAAAACGTATTTTTCAAAGTAACAACACTATACAACCTGAAGAACATCATACATGAAAGTAGTTGGTGGAAAATTGTAGACAGTGGGCACATGGTGACCATTATATAGAAAAAATTCGAATGAAACTCAACCTAGCCCATATAATTCAGTTTCAAAAGCGTTTCTATTGCATATTATTGTTACGACACAATATGTTGGCACGTTTGTAAGATTTATACCCAGGACTTATATTTTAACACAACTTTTGAGAGATCCTAGCATATATAAGTACGTACTTATAAAATAGTAACCAAGGGAAATAATTACCCTGTACGTGATCGGTAAACAATTAACTGTTCTAAGTGTAGACCACGATGTGACAATTTCTTTTCTAAAGCATGTTTGATTTGTTGTCCAGATTTAATTTCAACTAATGTAAATTGACTGTTTGGGAAGTGTGCACGTAAACGTAATTTTGTTGTTGTTGTTGTTGGGTGAGATGATTTAAACTCAGAAAATTTATTATTAACACTTTGTAGAGTTCCTAAAGATGAATTATCTAGTTGAACTGGGGAGTTGGTTGACGATAAGAACACGGATGGAAGAGACGGAGATTGAGATGACGCAACAATAGGTAATTTAGTTGACCCAAATGTCAAATTGATACTGTCATCCCCATTGTTATTATTATTAAGATTACTAACATTACTACCGTTAGTTGTACTATTAGTACTGTTATTTAACACCACAGTTGTCACCATCATCATATACTGATCAAGTTTCGATTTCCAATCTTCCAGTTCACATGTATACCTATCTATGGCTGATTGAACAATATTAATATCGTTAGAAACCTCATCGTATTCTTTTGTAATTAAACCAGAGAAATCTTCGTGACGATTGATGAAATTTAATAGTTGATAAGTTTTCAATTGTAAGGCCTGATTAACTAAAGTGAAATCTGCTATCTATCAAAAGAAAAAAACCAGGAACAAAAGTAATGTCTCTAACAAATGATAAAATAGATCAGAATAAGACATCACTTTGTAAAAGTTATAAGTCATTTAAGGAGTTACTATCCGCGAACAACCTGAAAATGTTATAAAACTTTAATATTTTAACCAGTGAGAAATTTGCTGTATATCTTACATTGTACCCACACACCCGTCATTTAGTCGACTAAAAGACTTGTAATCTCTGAGTTGTCACTTTTTAATTGTGTAAATATTGCAATAAAATGTATTTTTCATAAGATTTGACCTGGTCATTCAAATATATCGATCACCTAATTTACATGTTTTATAATAATCTTACAATCTATCGTAAGGCTAAATACTGGGAAATCTAGATGAAATCACCATAGCTATTTGTGTATTTTCTTCATTTATTCTTTGGAGAGAAGATAAACAGATACGATTAATTTCATGAACAATGTGTATACATTGTATGATAAAAAATACATCATATCACATACGTTTATTTCGTGTTTAGGACCCTTCACCTAATCAGTTAAATGACATTAAATAGGGTGGTTATCATTATTTCAGCTAAAAAGATATTAAACAGTTTACATAAAACCAACAGATAAAGTAACACTTAGTTATGAAACAGTACTAACCTTGCTTTTTAAAGTGTCACATTTTTGTTGGAGAATAGGTATAATAGTTACCGCAGAATCCACGGTCATTGTGCAGAATAATTACTTGCAATAATAAGCTTACAATAAACTGACTTGAATTTAAACAGAACAGGTAGAGTAGTTGTTTTTATCCGAAAAAATATAAATAAATAAAAAAGGAGACACAGGATTTTAAAGCTTTCCAACATTAACTCTAAAATATCAATTTTCTATGTGGTCACAACTAAATTCAATCAGAAATGGAATTTTTGGGAAAATGACCCATCCACATTATGCAAAAACATAATACTTCCAATGAGTTTAATATGTTGTTCCACATTACAAATAGGGGAGAAAAACTATGACATATGAACAATAAACAATAATTGTTGTGACAACGGTAGTGGAGAAATAAAATATTAGGGACAGTATATTAGACAAAAAGTAGAAAGCATAATAAATAGTCAAATGTACATTAAAACAAAGTGAAAAATGTGCCATCAAGATCAAATTTGTGTCAAATTAAGTGGACTCTTATTATTTTCGGATTCCACAAATTCCACATTAGAAAGTACTGCCATGTGAGAGCGATGATAAAAAGACGCTCTGTGATCATATAATTGTTATTACTGAGCAGCTGCATCAGTTCAAACACCCGGGTAGTATTTCAGCCCTAGCACAAATCGAATTTATGTGGTGCATATATATTTGGTGTCTCCTTGCACCAACAGTTACGTTTAGACAAATAAAAAAATAATAACTATTCAGCCACTGTGAGTACTATTAGATAAAAGTAGTAGTACTATTGTCCTGGAAAACCTGAATAGAGATAGCAGAACTACATAAAATGAAGAATATTTATAAATTGAGCACTTTTTCTGGCTACAATATTTATGCCCCGAATGAGTTACTACAGTGGTTCATGTAGAATAAAACATACATTCCATAGGTAACTAGATATCATGCAACACAACGAGTGGAGTTAGCTGAAAATAACTAAACAAGCTTTTTGTACTCAAACCGACCTTCTACCAGAGATGAAACACCACAGATAGTACCACCGTTCAAATCAGTCATGTTCATTCATTTCAGTCTTTTTTTTACGACTGACGTTGAGTCGTTGAGATTTATGTGTTCAAACTAGTTACTTTTCAAGAGTGTGTTCAAACGCCAAAGGGATTACCACCAGTTTTTGTTATTTATGACAGACCCATAACCCTTCCTACAGTTAACAAACAAAACACTAGTTTGACATGACAGACGTTTGCTGAAAGTTAAAATTATGAAATAATATGATTGATGGGTCGCTCCAGGAAGATCTACTAGGCTCTACACCAGAAGTCCGACTTGAACTTTGAGGCTTACCTTTCATACCTCTGACATTACAAGAATAACATAGTGGTCAGAAACGCCGACCTAGAGGTGGTGTGCCAATGATAAACTATGGGTACGTCTTTTTTATTTGACTACATTTGATCGAATCAGGACAATGATCACTTACGGTCTTACAAAGACATACGATTTCAATGAACAATTCAAACAGGATAGTGACTTAAATCCTAAGCCAAATATGGATCCTTTGGTAGAAACTTATCCATCTATGTCAATTGTCATAAAAAAGAGCGTACATGTTTAAATGACCTGTATAAACCTAACAACTATTCACATAACATTTCAATCATTCCACGGTATTTAACTGGAAGTCACGTTTAAACTAATTAATATGTAACCAGTTTTTTTAAATCTTTTCGGTCGACTCAAAAGCTATTTACATTAGTTGGTACACAACTCACCACAATACGTTATATATTTCAGCCGCCAAAGTTTACTACTGGTATTAAACGGGAAGATTCATCAGTTGTGGGTGTGATTATATCTTACTAAACTCCAGAACTTTTATCAAATATGCCTTAACGTTATCATTTGCCAGATATAACTTTAGATCAAAAACGGTGGGATCAAAAACATTTAACAACCCAAAGCGGGCATTCGTTCCGTCTAGTCCGAAATGTTGGCGACTACTTCACAAACAATGTCCAATTTGTTTATGATCAAGACAATGTTGACAAGTAGACCTTTCTCTGAGAACTTAGTGTGTGAGACAAATTTTCACAGTTAAGCCCGTCTGATTCTTTGAAGGGTTCTATCAGGCCAATGTGTAAGAGATGTTTGTGTTTTAATGAGATTGTCCGGCTAATCCAAGTGGTCTATTTTACATGATTCATCAAGTAGAAAGATGTGTTTCCATGCAGATGAAATGGATTTACTGAGAAATAATAACTATTTACATGATCGTTACTCTGTGGTGTGATTCATATCAGTACACAATATGTGGATTCGTGTTACCCAACGTAAAAAAATATAAAGATTTAGGGGTCATACTAAGCAGTGATCTCAAAACTGTCACTGTGAGGCTACTGCTGCAAAAAGCTGTGGGGTTTTACGGTCTAGTCACAGGCCTCCCCAGTATTTGAGTGATGAAATGTTTAGATTATTATACCCGACTTAGGTACGATATTATTGCAATATGCGATTCAAGCAGCGAGTCCTTGTTTCAAGTATGAGATGGATTTGCTAGTACGCGCCCAACGATGAGGGACTAGGATGGTAGGTCTATCTGGTTGAGACACCTCAACTAATTTCAATTGTCTCACTACAAATTTCGAGTTGATCTAACATTAGTTCACTGTATATTGAACAATGACCTATTGAAGATGCCCCATGTACTCGGAGTTTGACAATACTTTAACCAGTAACACCTTCTATTAGGAAGCGTACTAACCAAGTGAAATCAAAAGACAGAAGCGAGGAGGTTCGAAGATATATTTCATAGGCTATCAATATATCGAGGATCGTCTGATCTAATCTAACTAGCGATTGCCGGGATGTTGAGCACGGCGTTCCCACGCATGATTTTGTGCGGATGCATGACCGAAAGCCTCAAGCTAGGTGGGTCCATTAAAACTAATGTGGTAGCATCCAATGTCGAAAACTTACAGGGATATTTATTTTGAGGGTTTATTTACCGCTACACTATGTATTAATATGTCTTATCTTTTTCTTCCGTCTAGGATTGATCATTAGAGATCAAATCGTTTACGTCTGAAGTTTCGTTTATCACACCGAGTAGTGAATTACTGGAATTCTCTGCTACAACACGTAATGTCAGCACCTTCTGTTGGTATAGCCAAAACAAGATTGAAACTCCAGTGTTACAAACTGCAAGGATTATTATATGTCGATAGACCTCCTATTCTTATTACTGAAAACTGCAGGCTGAAAGGTAATGTTGACCTCACCAGTGTAGATCACCAACGTAGATGATCTATATCGAGTAATTAGTGGTCTAATTGAGCTAAACGGGAATGGCGTGACCAGCTAACTTCGAATTCGCACACTTTGGTCAGCACCTAACGTGGGTTAAACTGTCAACGTCGCAAGGTACCATGGCTGCTTTGAAGACAGTATAACACAAAGCATGTTTTTACAGGAATATATTGGTGAGAGTAGGTACAAGGAAGAAGGTGCGACCACCACCGCATGAACCAGTCCATAGCACGCGGTTGCCTAATGTGAGGTTGTTGTCCTTGACCTTGATGAGGGTCGACGGCCTGTTAGTTATTCAATGACCCAACTGCCGGATGGTTTGGCCAGGGCTCAGAGGCATCTCGTTTTCTCTACAAGTGCAAGAACACACGGAGGCAGTTGGAGGCTTCCTCTTTATTACTCCCCTTATATAACAGTATAACCATCCTCTTTTGAAGTTTAGGTGTACGTTAATTACCGGCTAAGAAACACATGAAGAGGGTGCCAAGCGTAAAGTAAACAAGATCCTTATATTACTTCGGGACTATTTGTTGAGCATTACGTTAGGCGATTGAACTGTGTGGATTGAGTGTCCCAGAATCCACTTGATTCTGAAATCTTCGAAGCTTACAGAGCTCAGGTCAACGTGGGAAAAAGTAGGATAGAGAAAATTAAATAAACTTATGACAAACTGAGGGCAACTTTGTAACCTTACTGATGGGTGGTATTTGGAGATGAAATGTCTCGCACAGTTCCTTAATAATATACTAACGATGACACTACTCGAGTATTTTGCTAAATAAGTTCGACAACAAATTAACCGGTGCTCGGAGTTGTTATGCAGAGGAATCGACTGGCAGTGCTAACGATTGTTTGTATAACATATCAGAGAACGGTAAGATACCAGGTTTTAGGGGATATTCGCAGATTAAAAGAATTTTCCGCCTTTTTCAATGTAATCTTAAGCTTACTCCATTTCGCTACAGTCAATTAGTCTACAATAAGTGATCAACTTTTACATGGTTATTCTAACCTTACAGCCGAACGGGGTGGGTGAGATTTTCGTCAGAAATACGTCACCCAATCACGACGGTTCGTCAAAGAATGGAAGAACTTAGTTTTCGTAAAATTAAAAACACTGAGTTTGGCGAAATCGTATTTTTTCAACAAATTCGTCAACAAGTCGTACGATCGTCTATAAATGAAATATTTTAACTATTTGTTTCCTGATGACATGCAGTCAAGCTTTAGCTAAGATTAATTTAATAATAAAGATGCCGTATATATTCAGAGTTCGACAACGTCTTTATACTTAACAACATAATAGCCAAGCTATGCCAACACCGTGAAATCAAAAATTAGAAATGAAGTGATCCGAAGATAAATTTGAGAGGCTACCGATATATAGATATTTTCGGCTAGTTGAAAGGGTTGTTTTCGGCTAGGTCTGTGCAGCAAGACCAGTATGGTTAGCGCCGATGGAGAGGGCCTATAGAACTGTTTATTTTGAAAGTTTATTTACCGATACAATGATGTCAAAACATTCTAGCCCAAGTATGTATCTGCATGTCAGCTAATGTGATTCTCTGAGCTGTAGCATTGATGTTGTAAATTTTGAAATAATGTAGCTCAAAGAATCAATTGCGCCGACATGTAGATACATACTTGAGCTAGAATGTTTTGACTTTTTTATATGCTTAATACTTCATATTTCGTACAGTCGTAACCTGCACGAGGGGCCTGAGTAAATTTAGAATCGATGTCTCTCCAGGGGGTAGATATTCGTATCACAGAGTTGACTTCATCAATAACGATGGTAAATGAATGGTACAACCTGAATTCTAGATTTATTCTCGTGAATGACGCTCAGGCTAATCACTATTATGTAATGGCTCTAGTAATAGTTACGTTGGACATTCACTTAGGCACCGCAAATGGAATCGAGTATTTATTGTCAGGCAGATAAAGGAAGGCAAATAAGGATAACGAATAGAGTAAGTGTAGCTACTAGAAATATATTCGAGTTCCAGAAGAGTACGCTACGCGATTCATTCTTCTAAATAGTGACGATTATGGATTGATATAACCAAAACAGTGAACTGATGAAGAAGTTTGGTAGTGTAAAGTCTAAGTAAATAGGTTATACAGTAAATCAAATCGTCAAAATGGGATTCAACCAACTTTTCAGGAAATAAAAGTGTTTTGGTCAAGTAGAAAAAACGGTTCTAATCCACTGAACGATGATTATTTTTATTATCGCTAGCTTTATCGAATATTATATTTTTGGAATTCTCGGTCGATACTAAAGATAAATATTGAGTGGTCGTCACTTGGATGTTAGTTATCCAGTGAATCGACATCAAAATAATGTACATTATTTTCACTGCATATTGTGAGGAACAATGTTAACTCTGATTGAGCCTTTTGTAATTTGTACGCCTTTCATAAGCACACCTTAACAGATCATTCGACTAAAAGACAAAGTGATGTATTAAAACAAGCGAAAACAGATAAGTCTTTGAAATATCTAGATTGGTGGAACAGGTAGCCCAGATGTTCAAGCAGACAAGCATTAGAAATAAACGATCGTATTAGGGGTTCCCAGCACCCAATAATAATCTAAGAGCGACGGACATATATGGCGGATGTCGTAATCAAAGTTAGCGCAAAGCTAAAGACCTATCAACCAATAATGCGATGAAGGAAACCAAATTGTAAATAAATATCAGCACAAACCTTTTCCTTGAGCAAAGAACAAACATTATATACAAACTAGATGAGAAGGTAAACACAGGGGGCAAGCGGAAGCAAAATACTAATATCATATAATACGAGCACACGACGGATTTTCCCTCATCCAAACACATACAAATATTTACAGTGAGTGATAACCAGACACACGCCCATATAGATTTGTTAAAGGGTCATAAGCGAATAATTAACAAATCCAACTGCGTATAAAGACAGTGATTAGAAACATTTGGTTCAATTTGTTTGTCAGTGTTATAAAAAGCTTACCTGAGCCAATACACAACTGATTTGCTATTATCACACATACATCTAGATCAATGTGATCAAGTCTTAAAACAACAGCCAATTCTATATTTATTCTAAGACAAATCATTATTGTAGAGACTTTGACAACACGTTATTAGGGTAAACGTCCATAAGTCATCTGAAATATAACTGTTCGCCGATTATACAATTGTTAGAAGCTCATATCTAAATAGAGTAGCCCGTACTTTAATATAATGTTATTAAACTTTGAATTTAGGCTGATTAGTAAGGACGTATCACTAAGTCAACAAAACGGACAGTCCATTGTCGGCATCATATTATGAGTCGAAAACTGAATGATCACCCGCGCCAAATGTCATCGATCCAAAACATTTACGCGTCTTAGTTCTTTAAAGCAAACACTGGGTCATGCGAGAAAATACCTGTAGGCCCTAAATTTTTCTGATACCTCTAATGCACATTATCAGGTATTTTCGATAACGCTTCATTATCATTTAATCCAAAAAATGATAACAATACTCTGAAGGCTATCCAGTGATAGGGCAAAGTATTTGCTAGCCTTCTTAAGTTCTAAAAATATGAGGGTTGACTTAAACCGATTATTATTCATAACTCAGAACATAAACGATATAGAGAGGACTTGGTCACGTCCAAACACCAGTAAGCATCCTTTGAACCATCAGCCGTAACAT